TGACCCAGTGGGCTGACTTATGACCTTAAATCGCCTTTAAATTTTCATGCGGTAGATCAATCATGCTGAGTTTTGTGATGAACATTCACGATCGTCACATGCTAAAGAAGACGCTCATCTGTAGTTGTGCCATTTATGGGTTAATTTAAAACAGAAGATTTCTAAGAGCAAAAATATAAGAGTAGTAGTTAGTCATGATTCAGATTATGGGATCATCGCTACGCGTGAGAGCAAAGAGGTGTACGGCAAGCACATTACTTCTCAACATCACGTGAAGGCAGAAAATGACCAATGACTTCCCCTCGTCATATGAGCCTCCCATCCTTCCGGCGTAGGTAACTGGTAACACAGTTATAAGGAGGATAAAACCACTGAACTGACATCGACTGGGCTTCGCAATCACGTAGATAGGGCCCACGGTCAAATTTACCACGATTCTGAGTATGGTCGATGCATCGGCTTATCACAAATTGGATTAGCGCGGCCAAAAGCTTATTCGGCGTTCGCAAACTTGGGGTAACAGTTTTGAATGTCAAAAAGGAAAGACATCTTCACTGCTGTAATGACATGAATAATGAATCCCTCTATGTGAACCTGTATTGAGACTTACACAGAATGGCCGGAACCTTTCGAGGCCCTTCTCAAGCGCCGCGTATCATACGATGAAAAGTCTTCTTGGCCCTGAGGACCCAGCAATGCTTTCCTTTTCAAATAGAAGATGAATGCATAGAGACTGTTGAGCAGATCGTTGATGAGCTTCTGGCCAAACATGAGATTTGGGCAGGTGATTGAAGCTCCGACAATGTTCAGATAACTATTGCCGTCTATCGCCAACTCCATATCCAATTCAAGACAGAGTGCTGGCTCACCATCAATTCAACACCACACCGTTTGTGGAAGAAAAAACCCTATATTCAAAACATAAAAGTACATTTCGTGGTCATGGCCATCACCAAGTCAAAATGTTCATTCGATTCCAACTAAGAATTACAGGGAAATCTAGAAAAAAACGCCAGGTAAATCAAGAAGAAGCACGAAGAATCGAAGCTTTCTCGCATGGCGCGAGTGCCCGCGATCAATTCAATCCAAGTTAGCATCATAACCTAGCCCTCAGCTAAAATTCCAAAACCAGTAGCCCAAGACCTAGGAAAAAAACCGGCCCAAAGGAATACAATGAGACTATTATTATTTGTTATTGACAGTTGCACTACATAATGAAATTTCTCAAACAAAGGGCAATAAGAAAACCCGATAAAAACAAATGGTCGTAGAAGATACTGGGAATGTGTATAAACAATGCCGTTGTCCCCTCATTTCGTTTTACTTTTGATACTAGAAATTTCCGAGTCACCTTACTTTAAAGGAGGAATTCACGATTAGAATGAAGGTCGAAGAAAGGGAAACTGACCTAGTTGAGGGACCCACGGACCTCCTGAGGGTGCGAACTGACGCGCAATTCGCATGGAAAAATTTGACCTCGGCGACCTATCATGCCTCAAAGCTGGCGGGTCCGGCGATCTCCGCCCACCGATCATCTGATCACTCGCCGTAGTTCAATACGTGGCGAGTGATAGATAGCTGGTCTCTCGCATTAATGGACCCATATTTTGTGCCCTCTTCAACGCGTAAGCTCTCGCTCCCCTTCCCTCTCTCTCTATTACTTCCGATGTCGCGTGGGCGCTCTGGCAATTGCGCCGAAGAAGAAGCCAGTTCAGAGAATTTTTTTTGGGGGCCGCAGGGGGGGGGGGGTATTTTTCGCATGCGAAGGTTGGTCCGCTCCCTTAAGAGGATCCGCCTGTCTTAGGTAACGAAACACTAGGCTGAGTTCCCCTGCTCGACCTTCCCTTCTTGTCCTGGAAATCCTTAAAGGGGGCGGAAGCGTTCTTTTTCACATCACTAGGAGAACTACCATTGAAAAGCCATGACAAGCCAGAATTCATATTTATTGGGACGCTGGCTTTGGTTTTCATCAATAATTGCACTATGAATTAAATGGACAATAATTAAATTGCGACTTTCAACTAGATTCCAATTCAACTGAGCCGTCATCCTTTTGATGTCAGTACCTGCCACCCAATCCCAGGGAGGTGAACCTCAATTGCGACACCTCCAAGCAGGGTGAAAATCGTGTCGAGTACGTGGTCGCAGAGGTACGACCCCCCCCCCCGAAATCGAGATCCTGGCACGACCCCCTCTAACAGAGCAAATTAATTCAATTAAAATAAATCCTGCAAAACAAATCAAAAAAAATTCTGCAAAATAATGCTAAGGACGCTTCATCTTGTCATCTATGCACGTCTTCCATCGCTGCATACTTTTGTGTACATACTGAAATATCGACTCGAGGAAAGAGGCATTAACTTTGTGTGACCTCAAGGCGAGGTTCGTTCAGAAACGCACAGAAATCCTGAAGACACGGGGTTGCGATTCAATCTTGATTCTTGCTTGAGTATATCAAAACAGCCGAGTGTATCAAAGGCCGATTCAACGGCAGCTGCGGCGCGATTGTCACTGGGTCAGATTTGCCGAAATTTCAAAAAAAAACGTCCGAATCTACACCCTCGATGAAAAGGTTGCATTCCTCCATTTCACAACCTTTGAAGCAGCTTGAGGTAGAGTTAGATAGAGCTGGATTTCGCGTTTCCAACAAGCATCGAAATTGCTCTGGAAGCCTTCCTTGCAGAAAGATAGGGTCTGTCAAATTTCGTCGAGTAAATGTCGAGGAGGCCCAAATTTTCACGCGAGTTTTTGCCACTTCAAGAGCAATATATCTCTTATATTGTAAGATCCTGAAAAAGGGAAGATAGTTTTGGAAAGCGGAAGGTTTGCGCTTCCTGATGGTCTGTTTAGTTTTCTTCTACAGCTTTTTGGTTGAAGAGATAATTGCGTCGAGGATCTATCGAGGACGGATCCGGCCACCTGGAAATCCGCTCCCTCATTCACCATTGCAAGTGTGACTCGTTGGCAACACTCGGAATGTGTCTAGAACAATATCTTTGAACGCAAACAATAAGAATAGGAGCAATCGTCATCATCCGATTTGGTATTGGTATAAGCCATGCATCCCTCCTCCACTCACAGTTGCAGAATCGATTGAAAGGTGTTATATGATGGGGACCTTCGAACGAAACTGTATTGTAGTAGACATAGTGTGTTGTGCTATTCCTGTAACCTAAAAAACAACTTCATTTGCCCAGCGCTTTTTCTTCACGGTTGTCGTTTTTCCGACAGGGTCCCTAACAACAGCGTCATTCTCAGCGAGGTATTAAGGGAGAAGGAGCGAGTGATAGGCGGAGGAGGTGCCTTTGCAGCGCGTGCGCACATGTGGCACTCTTCTTTGCGGGGATGCACTTTCATTCTTTGTACTGCCTTCAAATACGCCCTTCTCATGAAGGGTGGAGGAATGGAGCGACTGAACCTGCAAAGAAAATTTAATATCATGTTTTTTTTCGGATGTTTTCATTTTCTGCTGCGCTATACCCTATTACCTATCTGCACCATGATACCACTTCTGTTACTGACCCCCAAGAGTACGACCCCCCATGGACCAGCCCAACAGGTACGACCCCCCTGTCGAGGATTTCCTCGACCGATATTCACCCTGGTCCAACAGCTGTCTTCAACACGCTGGTAGAAGGAAAGAGGTAAGGTTAATAAGCCCTCTTAAGCTATCTTACGCCTGCAAACTAATCAAAAAAATATTGCAGAAGAATTTTATTGCATTTAGTCGATCAATGGGACATTGCTGCGAAGCAGCCGATTCATCTAAGCTCTTGGCTTACCCATTGGTTAGCAAAAGCGCAGACATTACAAACAAAATGGAGTACCTTCTCTGTACTTGAGCCGGAATTTGATACGAAGGTCCTGTAGCGGTTAATAAAGCGCGTCAGGGACTTTTGAGATGCAGAAAATCACACAGCCGCACGTTGGAAAGGTTTTTCTTTGCTCTCGTTAATCACGCATATGAAATAACCCATCACATAATTAGACAAGACTCGAAGACAAACGCCTGCAAGATGGAACTGAAGAAGCACCGTATGGTGCACAAGATGCATCACACGGCTACCAAAAAATTCATTCTGTTTGATTTATTCAGCATTTCCCAAGTTATCCACCAGTCGCCAGCATACTTTTTGGTTGCGAATGCATGGAGAATATAAAAAATTTCAAGTACTGATGAAGTTCAAGTTTCAAAGGATGAAGATTCCAGCGTTGATCGACCCCCTTTGGGATGCGCCACGCATCTTGTTTCATAAATACTAGTGGCTTTTAAATGCAGCACAGCCAAACCTGACCCTAAGCATCGATTGAGTCCCTGCAAGCCTATACAATAACCTATGCAAGTCAGTGTAATTCATCAGTGTTTTTGTCCTTTCAGAAAAGTCCGTACCAAGTGACCGACCCCAAAACGTAGAAGATTCCATTGTTCCTACCGAAATTCAGTCCGAGAGTGACCCCTAGACGTATGAGCGCGTCGGAGCGCGCGCTTTGCCACAACACCAATCAAGTTGACCGACGAAGAAAACCGATTAATCGTACCCTCCCCTTCAAAAAGCGAGAAAGTGTCGGGTGCAGACCATGCACCACAAGTGACGACGGCCTTCACAAAATGTTAATGTTTTCTGCCAATGAAATGATTAGCCTGTTGCAGTTTATTCTATCGATTGTCACTAATTACAACTATCATTTACCAGAAATCAGCTATCACTATGAACAACTTCTAACCAGATTTACTTGGAGGCCGTCGTCAGTTGTGGTGTTTGTCTGCACCCGACACTTCTCGCTTTTGATGGAGAAGTTAGATTGTTGTTTGCTGCGAAGTAGACGGCAAAAACTTATGGAGTTGCTGCATACCCGCAATAATTTAGAAAGTGGTAGCCTTTTTAAGTAGCCCATACAACGAACGAAATTAAGACTCCAAGGCGAGTTCTACAGATAACCACAAACATTAATAACAAAAAAAATATAAATATAAAAATGGTAGTGCTATAGAAACTAACCACAAATTTGATTCTCTTCCGTGGATAATCCTCAACATTCTCGTATTCATGAAGCGGTTCCATAGTGTTGGCCTGATGCTGCATCTGTACGGATATGAGCGATCCCTTTGGAGGTGTCGGCAAAGGGGCGGCTTTCGACAGTCAGGTATGAATCGCGAAATCGCTGGCTGAGGGGGACGACAGAGACAGCGCACCGGCCACGGAGTGCCGCCCGACGACACGCGTACACGCACCGATTCACACCTGGAATACTGGATCTTTAGCATCGGCTTCTCAACTCGCTTTTCTCGCAACCATAGCCGATCTCGAACGATGGCATCACGCAACCATCCGCACTCGTCACGATCGCTCTGACGCGCTCTTAGTCGCATTAAGCCCGTAATGGCGCCTCATGATAAAACATTCCATATCAAGAATGACGTGGGTGAGAGCTAAGATCCAAAATTAAGCAGAAGATGTCAGAGCGGGATATTTTCTGGCCAGGTACTACGTTTTAAATTACGATAAGGAAACTTATATTACAAAAAAAATCGGATAATGCCTCGATGACTTGTCAAGTTAGGGGAGAAAAAAACTGCGGGGGAAAAATTGTTTGAAGATCTGTCTATTCATTTATTAAGTATTAAGGCTGCCGTACAGAAAATTGCAAAATCATTCAAAATAATGGATCTTGAATGAATGATGCCCAATTATGCTCAGTAAGATCTATGCTGCGAGAACAATGCTAGTTTAGCACGTTTGGAAGAATCCATGAAATCAGATTCGATAAAGACATTTAGTTAACCTTATTTTCAAATAACTTGAAAGTAGGTATATGTAAACCCCAAGGCCTTTTCACTTTAAGTAGGTCAGGAGTAGGGTAGTGCTATGGAAATAAGGTGTCCTGTGGTAGAATCTCAGGTCTGAGCAAATTCTTTGCAGTCAGAGTACCACCTTTTCTAAAATTCCATCAGGATATACTACCTTATTTCATGAATCATTTCGTAGTAGGACGGTTGAATTAGTTAATTTTAAGTACGGTTTCTAGGAAGTTACATATTAAGAAACAGCCTTTTATCTCTGAGAAACCTCCCGAGCTAATAAGGCTCCGAAGAGCCTGAAACGTATATGCTAATACAGGCGTCAAATAGGAAAAACCCTTTAGCAGCTTAAAGAAGCAAGATTATTAAACTGTGAAAAAAATGGTTGATGCATCGATTTGACTGGACGTCTGCTTTTGACTAGTTTCACACGAGGATACTCATTCCTTTTCGTGTAGGCCATTGTCAGACTCTGCGAATAACGCGATTCCCTACAGCGACGCTAGCGTCCGCGATCGGCGCCTGCGACCATCACAGAGTGAATCACTAACCGCGACGCGACCGCCAAAACTCTAATAGCGATCGCGCGTAATTCGCATAAGTCTGACATCGTCCTGGGTCGTACTTAACCACTGAGAGCATGCGTGAAAGTCGACTATACTCTCCAAATCCCATTCCTAAACAAAATTTAAAGAAAGTACATATAATGTTAAGATATAAAAAAAACAACTTTAACTATTACAGACCGAACAGTTTAGTTATACAAACAATAATTTCAATTTTAGTTTAGCTATCCAACCAATAATTTCAACTTTATAAGCTTTGTCAATATAGCACCCATCCTAATTTTATTACGATCTTTCATTATAATTGAGCTAAGTTGAGCTGTAAACGTTGCTTTTCCCAAGTGTCGGAATGTCATATTATTCATGCACAAGATCAATGTCTGAGGCAGTCGATCACCCATTGTTGCACACGATTATGGCTCCGATTATGTCTCGCTTCTGGGAATGCTTAATGCGTTTCGAACGTAAAGTTACAGAAGGCAGTAGTAGAAAACGGGGAATGGACATGTGCATAGAAAGGGAAACACACAGAGAAGCTAGCACTAGTAATTTGTGAGAGGATCGCGTATTGCACTTACCATTAGCCTTTTCGTAAACTAATTACCTCGGAGCTCATAAACTAATAACCAAAGTTATAGGGGGAAAAAACAGCCCGTCGTCCATTGGACTTTTTTACTATACGCCACGTATTCCACCTCTATTCAGAATAGCGGCGACAGTTTGTTATGGCTAAACATACGACATTTCGTGTTCATCAACCAGATCAGACTGTACCAACACCGGATTCACATAAATAAGCCTAAGGCCGATGTTATAGTTTGCGAATCGAAGCGTTGCGCCAGCGAATCGAACTTTGCGCCAGCGAGTCGAACTAGGTACCAGCGACTCAATAGTGGTGGGACCCAACGTTTCAAAGGAAGCCCGCCACTTTCAAACAGTGTCACGTGACAGTGGACGCTGTTTGAAAGTGGCGGGACTTGACAGTGGACCCTGTTTGGCCAAGGGCGGCCTACCTTTGAACTGCTTGAGTTCGCTGGTACCAGTTCGACGTCGTGGTGCATCGGTCGATTCGATGGCGCAAAGTTCGATTCGCTGATGCAAAGTTCGATTCGTTGGCGCAATGCTCAGATCCCGCGATTCGCAAACTATGAGATCGGCCTAAAAGCTTGGTCGCTATGTGTGCGAAATTCGATCCGAGATTTAGCTCCAGGATAACGTGCAGTAAGAGGGGTCACTTGCACTCCACCATCATCCATAACAGGAAGTGAAAAAGAATGATGTTGGCCAAGCGCAAATCAAAAAAAGCAAGATAAATTCACATTCGATGCTCAGCATGGAGAGGATTCCAACCTCGACGTACAATCCAGAATCTGGGTTTCAAAAATCACGGCATTAAAAACTATCACTCCATGCGTTGTATAGTGTCCTCCTTTCACAGAAAGGCTTCGACTTACAATTCTTTTTCAAAAGATTAGAGTCTCCAGAGAAGATGGTAGAGAATTATCAACTATAATAAAAGAAATAATACAAACTATAACAAATAAGAATTAGCTCTCTCTACACTACAAAACTAAAAGAATTCAACACCGCGATTCATGGAATCATCGATTCATATCCCTTGGTATGTAAGCATAAATCGAGATTTCCCGACCGATATCCCGTCTCCATGGAGGTGGTGCAGCGGCTAGGAGAAACTTTCCGAAGCGCCAGGTCAGATTCAACCCTCTCAGTTAAAAACTTCCCGGTAAATCTTTGGAAGGACAAACTGCAAGATACCCAGCTAGCGAATGTTGAGAAAAAGCCAGAGACGAATTTGAACCTCTGTACAACTCAGAATGGAAATCAAATGCAATAAAACGCTAAGAAGTGGCAAATAGTCATGCAATTGATGGCTTGATTTCTAGTAGAGTTCACGCTGTATCACCCACATTTCACTCTCCGCCTACATATTAGAGCACGCCCTTGATTTCTGAGACGACTAGCGATCGTTGAGGAAACTCCATCGCGGGAGTGGCATAAGGAGGTGGAGGGAGGTGGAGGGGTGGAGACCTTCTAGAGTCCAGAAATATTAGAGAACTTTCTAGCTACATCTTCGCTGTTTTTTGTATAAAGGGGGGGGGGGCAAAAAAGTCACTTTGCCATGGCGCACATCATCAAACTTTTCGTCGCACAGGATGCCGCTGTTGATGAAAGTTTTACGGCAGAATATTCCTTAGGTGTCCCCCATAAGCAGGCCCTCCTTTCACTGCCCCCACCGTCTTCAGAATATGACGTCATCTGCCGTCACCGTCGAGCTCAACGAGGCTTACCGTAATCGCTCCGGCCTGAAGCTGCTACATAATTTTTCAATCGGTTAACCGGTGAATAGCTTCTCTGTTACTATGCAAGATCGTTTGACCAGTGCTCCAGATGACGTGGTAACGGTATGTGATCCGTCGACGACCTCGTTGAGCTCGCCCCGTGTACCATGTTTCCGTGGGAAAATCTTCTGATGTCGTCGGTGTAGAAGGCCGCCATGAAGGCGATTAGAATGTGCTCTTCAATTTTTAGTTGGGCTCATTCCGGTTTCGGATTTGGCAAAGTGTAACTAATTCCGTTTTGAATGTGGGGAGAAAGTGACCATTTTTGCTTTGCCCCTCTGTAGTACATTCGTCCTCGTTCTTAGACGATGATTTCAGATGCAAGTTGGATAAGACCAAGCAGCACTCAACAGAAGTTGGTCAGAGATTTTCCATAATTCTAAATAATTAAACTAAAATTTCTCCACCACACGGTTTAATTCCGCTTACGAGTGTGCTTTCCATTCACAGGCTAGAGGAGCAGTAAATGGGCACTGGGCGGGGCAAGCCATTGGGAGGTTTCCCCGTTCAATCAGCTGTGGACGCGCCGTGACCGCAAGGTGCACCGAGCCACCCAAGGGGGGATAGCCGTTGGTTGCGAGTAGAGAGTGAGATGATTTTTCCAAATTCCCGCCAAATATATTCTCGCTGAACTTTCGGCAGGGCGCCAAAGAGCAATCATTATTATTCATCGACTTCACATATCGTAATTTCCAAACAAATGAGAATTAAGTTCGACATCTATGAAAAAAATGCTGATGCATATGTTTCCACGTAAGAGTAGCGATTTTTCGAGTGTACTGAACTTGCGCCAGCGTGCAGCAATCCGACCATAGAAAAGGGACGAAGAGAAGCAATACTGTAATTATCCGCACGCATACGCCCCAACCTGTATCAACTGCCAACGTTGACTAATCAGTAGCACTTCCTCTGGTCAGCGTTGTTGTATTTGCTAGGGGTTCAAATATGAAAAAATTCAGTGAGGTCCCCGCTTACAGAGGGAGAAAAGCTGAAAAGAAAACGCACCGTGACACTTTATCTGAGCACTTTTGTGCGAGCGGAGAGAACGTTGGTGTAACGCAAAGCGTCGGAATAGAGGAGCTCAGGGCACCTCGCACACCGACCAGAATGAATAGAACTAGTGAGAACGAGACGCAGACACCAGAGTGGTGCTTACGGATGGGACACAAAGGTGCGTGTGATATGAGACCGTGCCATGCAACTAGGGCTCTGTGTGCTATCGATCCAGTTGACCTCACATGCGGGAGAGATTGTACTTTTCGGATGTAAACGGCTCTTTCATAAAAGCCGCAGGAACAACCCTTGGCACTTATGTCAGATATCGTTCAGCGAACTGTGGTCGAATCATCGATTTTTCATATCATTTACGGAAGGGGGTCCACACACATAGATTCACGAGGAAATTTGTAATCTGCAAATAAGTCGCAAGTTTGGAAGAGAATAGCCTTACGCTCATAATCTTGCTCCTACATTCATGTAACAGCTTCTCAGCTAATTCAGGAATCGGCACTGATCGG